CATACAGCATGCAAATCAAGCTGCTCCAGAGCGCACGTAAAGGATGCCGACCAGGCACCACTGCTCCCAATCAGTCCACCTTTACGGTTGAGATCGGGATAACTGATTGTTCAGTTTAGTCGACCTGCCGTGCGAACCTTACACTAGTCCTTTTTTTGGGCGTTGAGCTTTGAAATGACAAGCTGCAATAACCAAAATCGTCAGGTCTTACTGGCGGGAACGCGGTAAGCCCTGACGATTTCGGTTAAACAATCGTCGACATGAAATCATCATCTCCCAGGTATCAGCTTTACCGGCAAATCCTTAACTTTCTCACGACTTTCAGGTTTTATTACTGGAGATCACACATCCACACCATTTCGGTCGTTAAGACTCGAGAAACATGAGGCCTCGGGTGAAGCCTCAGCGGACAGCTCAGCTAAAAATAGCCCACCCACCCAGAAATAAAGAAGAAGCGTAAGACAAGAAATTACAGCAGAACAATTTGTAGACTGGACCTTTTCTAGTCCCCACCTAGGAAAAAACACCACATTTAGATTGAATACACAAAACAGGCAAAGGATAGGGTAACCTCTCCCAAAAAAATCTACACTGCATGGTCTGCCCCCAACAGGGTAATTGCAGCTTCACCACACCCTCCGGATCATGAAATATGCAGAGAGCCCTGCTCGGAAGACAAAGCCTCCTCGACAAGCATGTTTCATTTCTGACCTTTGCACAGGAACATACAGCCACATTAAGGCTGCTGCTTCGAAGCGCAGGGAACCGATGCCGGCCAGGCAACACATTCTCCCGATCACTCTAAGGATTCTTCGGTTTAAATTTTAATGCCTAGGTCTTGTCGAGATAAAATGGAAAAAAACGAAGTCCTTGATGAAGGCCAAATGCTCAGAAGTGAGTCATAGAGTTGGGGCCGCAGGCCCACACACCGCGGGAAAATCGAGGGTGGGCGTCCCGCTTTGCCAAGATCTTGGCGAGAAAAACAACTCGGCCTCTGAGCAGACTTGGTGGCTGTGCTGTGACCGTAGGTTTGCTTATGCCATGGGTGCAGCTGCCGGCGGACAAAATCCCGAAGCCGCTCCGCGTGAGTCGAGTCAGCCTGCCGCGACCGGTCACGTGCCGGTTACTTGGCCGGTTACTTATACTCTCCCTGCTCGGTCCGGTTACTTGTACTCTCCCTGCTCCAAGGTCCAGTGGCGGTCGGTCCTCAGAGGGTCTTCTTCCCGCAGGGTAAGTTCCACTGAGTCCTTTCGTAGATCTTGGCCTCAACACTCACCCATCCGTAGATTCTGAAAATAAGATTTAAAATTAGGAAAATAGTGCCATACTGTTGGAACTGAAGATCAACGATGAGAGGGCCTCCGGGAGACAGTTAATTTTTAGGAGAACAAGAAGTTGAAATCTTAGAAAATAGTGCCATCTGTTGAAACTGAAGATCGTCGGTGACGAGGCCTCCTCAGACAGTTAAGCTGAAAAGCATCTTGACAAATGCTTGAAGTGATGGTTGCATCTTGACCTGTCGAGTAGGTACCAACTAGAAGGCCTCGAGTAGGACAGTTGCTTCCCATCACAGCGACAAGACTAATCACTTACAATTATGCTCTCAGAAAAACGCCTCGGTTCAGAAAATTGCCAACTGACCGACCGTCGTAACCAGCAGTGAAGCCCTGCAACCGAGCCAAGCTGTCCGTTCAAGCTCTCATCTCACCAGACCGACAGAAAAAATAAAAAACCAACTATGGATCTGGGGACGTTAAACCTGTTATGCATACATTTTTTCAAAGCCGTCCTGAATGTGCACTGCATGGTCTGCCCCAACAGGTAATTGCAGCATCGCCACACCCTCCGGATTATGAAATATGCAGAGCCC